CCGCATCCTCAGTAGTACTTGTTTCTGGTCTTTTTGATATGGGCTATTACCTCAGATGTTAGGTGGTATCTCATTGTGGTTTTGATTTGTATTTCTCTCACTATAAGTGATGATGAGCAGATTTTTTTTTTTTCATGTGTCTGTTTGCTGTCTCACATTCTCTTTGGAGAAAGTTTCTAATTTGTACTTCTACTCATTTTTTGATTGGGTTATTTCTTTTCTTCTTGTTCACTTGTATGAGTTTTTTGTAGATTTTGGATATTAGCCACTTGACAGATATTTGAATATGCAAATGTCCTATGCCACGCAGTAGGGTGTCTGTTCATTTTAAAGATTATTTCTTTTGCAGTGCTGAAGCTTTTTAGTTGTTGTCCCATTTATTTATACTTTGGTTTCCCATGCTATTGGAGTCAAGTCCCCCAAAACATCCATGAAACCTATGTTGCGGAGTGTTTTGCCTGTGTTGTGTTTTATGGTTTCAGGACTTACATCCAAATCTTTAATTCATTTTTAGTTATATGTTGTGAAATAGTGATATAGTTTCATTCTATTGCATCTGTATTCCCAGCACCTTTTGTTAGAGACTTTCACTTCTTTATTGTATACTCTTGCCTTCTTTGACAGAGACTGACTAACTATAAAAGTATGTGTTTATTTTTGGGCTCACAGTCCTTCCATTGAGCTGTGTCTGTTTTTAGTATAATATCATACTATTCGGATTACTACAACTTTGTGCTATAGTTTGAAGCCTCAGTTATGATTCTCTATTCTTTTTATCAGAATTGTTTTGGCTATTCAGGGCCCTTTGTAATTCCATGTGAATTTCAGCAGTGGTTGTTTTTCATCTTTGAATAATGACGTTGAAACTTTGATAGGCATCACATTGAATCTGTATATTGCTTTGGATAAGATGGCCATTTTAGCAATGTTCATTCTTGCAGTCCATGGGATTATCTTTTGATTTCTTCTGCCTCTCTCTTTTTCCTCTCCCTCCCTCCTTCCCTCCCTCTCCTTTTCCTTCCTACCTAATTTACAACATTGTTTGTGTTTTAGAGGTATAGGATCTCTCCTTCAGGTGTTGTTAGTACACCACACCCAACCCCCTCAAGCACCCATAGTCCACCCGTAGTCCATTGTGCCCTCTCTCCTCTTTGTCTTCTGTTTCTTTTAACAATGTCTTATAATTTTCATTGTACAGTCCCCTTGCTTGCTTTGTTAAGTTTATTTAATTTGTGTTGTGCATTAGTAAATGGGTTGATTTTAATACAATAATGTGTTCTTTATCAAGTAAGCAGGATATAGCTATCTCATCAAAGTCAGTTTTCCAGATAATTGAATTTTATATCACCATCAAGTTTATAATTTTACTAGATTTGATGTAACTCTCTTAGAAATATGTTTAAAATTATAGATTAAAATTAATATTTCTCTGATAAGCTGGATCATTATTATAAGCATCATTGATTATGTTTTGCTGGGATAGTATAATGCCCTCAGAAAGTTACTGAGATTTATTTTGTTATTAACTGAAAACAAAAATGAAATAATCTGGATTGCTATATTTTGAATTCTTTACATTTTATCTTTGCCTTTACCATCTATACTATCATTAATTAGTGATCAACAAATTAAATCCTTTGTTACAAGAGATTCAAATCACATAGATAAAAAGAGTAAATATGAAATACATTTTTGGAATTAAATTATCCCCATTCATATCCCACACTACTTTCTAGTAGTAGAGTTTGTTTTGTTATAATGTTTGCTGTATTCACATACAAGCACATATATAAATATGTATTTATTGAATGAGTCTGCTCCAGATGTCATTATAGATAAAATAACATAAGTCTGATGGCTTAAACAAGGTATTTCTCACAGTTGTGGGGGTTAGAATTTTCAGATCAAAGTGCAAGCCAATTCTGGTTCTGGTGAGGCTCTCTTTGTGGTTTATATATTGCTGCCTTCTTGCTTTGTCCTCACCTGACCTTTTTATGTGCAGTATGAGACAGAGATAGAGAACTTGAGCAAACTCTCTGTTGTCTCTCTTAGAAGGGCACTTATACCATCCTGTTGGTGGTTAGGGCCTGAACATATGAATTTTGAGGGAATACAGGAAAATATATACATGTTTTATTTTAATATAAATTTTAGTATAATATTCAGTTTTACTTCCTTGAATATAAATGTTACCATGCTAAATGTATTTTGCATCTTTAGAAATTTACAGTATCTCAACAGAACTTTTTATAAGTATACCTCATTTTTTTTTATTAACTGTATGCTACTCTATATAATTAATGGAATAAACTTTATTCAATCCTGTTGATGGACATTTAAATGTTTTTTTTTTTAATTTTCTTTGTGTGATGACTGTATTTTGGTAAGAAAACCTTTTGATGGTTGAATAGTGTTCCAATTTGAAATTTGAGAGAAAATTCAAAATTTGCCTCTGAAAAGTTGGTGCTTTTATTGTCTTATCAACAGTGTATGTATATTTCTCCTTTTTAAACTTACTTTAACAATACTGAGAATACTGGATATTATTACTCTTCTTCCTACTTGTCAGTCTTAGTAGATGTAAACCAAATTTCTGTTATTTAATCTGTAGATATTTAATTATGGGTCCGGTAGTAAAGTTCTCCACATTTGTTTATTATCTTAGCATTTTGTTAATAAAATTCTAGTTGTGTTCTTTGTCCAATTTTACCAGAGGCTATCTTTTTTCTAAGATTTTCTGCACGAACAGGGGTTTTGTTGTAATTCCACTGCAAATATTTTTTCACAGTTTCACTTTCTCTTTGACTTCATCTCTTAAACTTTACATACATTAAAATTTTCATAGACTACAATTTAATATTTTCTCTTTCATATTTTGAGTTTAATATTTTTCTTTAAAAGACCATAGATAAAAACTTTAATGTGATATGTTAACTGTGTGTTTTGTTGTAGAAACATAAAATTCATTTAATGCAACCATAAATTATCTGACACATAAGTATATATTAATTTTGTGTATTTGATTATTTTTGTATCTAGTTTGTAAATATCCCTAAAGCATTATTGCTATATGTTAAAATAGAAATAGCTTAATAGCAACTAAAATTGCCATGACAGAATCTCACTTTCTTTTTTTATATTTAATTTTTTAACCTTTCTTTTCTTTAAAATAATAGCAATAGTATCATATCTCATAGGTTGTCATGAGGATTCTATATTGTAACATAAGAAAATAATATTAGATATCACTTACTCATTGCCAACTAAGTTTGTAGTCTTGAATTTATTTGTTCCTCAAAATAATGCTTTGAGGCAGTTTTTACTGTACTTAGATTCCAAATAAGAAAATAGTACCGGATGGTCTCACTCATAGCAGGAATCTAGAAAACTTAAATAAGGGACAGGAAAAAGAATAACTATAAGAAAGAAAATATCAAAATCAACAAACAACTATGAACCAGAGACACTCTATGAGGGTGAGGGGGTCGGGGAAAGGAGGGATTGGGGTCAAAATAAGGGGGTTGTAATTGTATGGGGAATATAAAAATAAAATTTAAATAAAAAAAATAAAGCCAAGAGAACTAAAAACATGCCTATGCAAAAAAATACGCAATTATACTTCAATGTTCATAGCAGCATTATTCATAATAGTGAAAAAATGAGAACCAGTCAAATGTCTAGCACATAATAAATGAATAATCAAAAGGAAATATATGTATAAAACAGAATGTTATTCAGTCATTAAAAGAAATAAAATACTAATACCTGCCACAACATGAATGACCTTCAAAGATATAATACTAAATGAAAGAAAGTAGACAAAAAAGACTACATATTATATGGTCCTATTTATATGAACTGCCTTTAGTAGAAAAATCTATACATTAAGAGAAAATAAATTAGTGGTTTTCTCAAGCTGAAGGGATAGGGGATGACTGCTAATGAGCCAAGTTTCATTTTGGTGTGATACAAATGCTTTTACATTAGATCATGGCATTGCTGTGAACAAGGGCCTCCCTGGTGGCGCAGCGGTTGAGCTCCGGGCTGTGAAGCTGCCCATAGCCTCTGCAGCGCCGGTTCTATCTCTGGCCACCTGGCGAGGGTCCCACATGGCGCGCAGACCTCTCCTGCTGCCCGCTGCTCCCCTCAGCAGTGTACTTCGTCAGTCTGCCTGTTCTGTTTCCCACTCTGGCTCTGGTGAACTCTCTCACCCTCCCACGCTTCTGACTGTACCCAGTGCTTGTATAAATAAATAAATCTTAAAAAAAGAAAAAAAAAAAGAAAATAGAGCCAGTTTGCAAATTGCCTAGGATATCAGGTAAATAATGGCACAGTCAGAATTTAAATGCCTATTTGTCTGAAAACCAAAAGCATATTTCTCACTGTATACTTTTCCTAGAACAGAACAGATATTTATTTATTTTATTTCTCTTCTATTTTCTGTTTCTCTTTTTCCTTTCAGTGAATAAGACTCCCCAGAACAATCACTGACCAATGATTATTGAAATGTTCTTTTCTGTGCTGTCAAGTATGTTTACCCTTCGCTATGTGAATCTGTTCAGCACCTGGAATACAGTTCATGTAATTGAGAAGTAGAATTTTCACTTTTATTTAATTTACATTAACTTAAATTACATGTGCCTACTGTTTGGGATTGCAACCTTAGAAGTCTGATACTTTTTTTTTTTTTTTAAGATTTTATTTATTTATACAAGCACTGGGTACAGTCAGAAGCACAAGAGGGTGAGAGAATTCACCAGAGCCAGAGCGGGGAACAGAACAGGCAGAATGACGATATACTGCTGAGGGGAGCAGCGGGCGGCAGGAGAGATCTGTGCGCCATGTGGGACCCTCGCCCGGCAGCCGGGGATCGAACTGGCGCTGCAGAGGCTGCTGCGCCATCAGGGAGGCCCAGAAATCTGATACTTTGAATATACATGTGTGTGTAATGCTAGTATAATTAATGTGTTGTTTGATAATGAGGAAACTGTTCATTTTAGGTTGAAAACTTTAGCAGAAGAACTTATGCAGACACAGCAGATGCTTTTAAACAAGGAGGAGGATGTCATGGAGTTAGAAAAAAGAATTGAGCAATCATCTAAGATCTATGAAAAGAAGTCTGAGTAAGTAAAACAAAAAATAATTTGAAGAAAGATAACTGCTGTAATTTTACAGTAATACTTCAGTGACAGGTTTTTATAGATATAAAATTCTTAGAAATTAAAGCTTTCATTTTAAGTATAAAATTTTGTATACTTTTGATACTTTCTAGGTCTCTAAAAAACGATTTTTTGTTTTTGTCAATATGTGTACTGAGCATGTTTTAATATTTTAATGGTTTGAAGTATTTTCTGAAACATTTTGTTAGTGCTATCTTTACTTTTATCAAATCATAGTCTGTTGTCAATAAAAATCCTTCTGAGATTTGCTGTGCTCTTTTGTCTTACTACTCTTTTTCTTCTGATTTATGAATTTGTACATAGTATCTTTCTGGATCACCTGATTTTACATGTTTTGGTATACTCTTGTTTTTATTGATTAATTGTGCTTTTTACTCTCTTAAAATTTTAATTTTGACATAAAATTAATATTTCCAATCTCTTCTGGTAATTGTTTACATATCCGATAACAGTTACTATTGGAGTAACCACTTAAGTTAGACTCTTAAGGAAATTGTGATGTTGGACTTCTCTGGTCTTTAATTGGTCTTTCTTCCAATACAACTTTTAAATATTTTCTTTTCTCAAATTTCTCATCTTTTCTTAATCTTCCTGCATCATAGTCAGCAGATGCACCCTTTCTATATTACAGAAAAATATTAGTGTCATCATCATGTGACAACTCTTTGACTAGATATTGAAATTCACCTAAATTGACAACCATTCTCTTTCAAAGTAATGCTGGAACTATTACTTTTCTTGACTCAGTGTATTTCTTGTCCTTTTTTCATATTCTTTCATCTGTTACCCAGAAAATTTGTAGTTTTTTAACTTTCATTTTTGATTTATTCAGTGATATTTCTTGTGATATTTTTCTTTTTCCTTTTTTAAAATTATTCAAGTTATCTTTCTTACATAGTTCTCCCACAACCATATCACTCATGAACCATCACCATATTCCCTTGTTTTGTTCTCTCCCCTGTTTTGACACCCCTCTCTCCCCATCCTTTGCTGTATGCCTCACATCTATGGTCAGCTTGCTAGTTTTGATACAGTATGTTCACTTTTTAAATATGTTAAGGTCTTTACTCCTAAAAAAAGTCTCCACTTTTCCACTCACCCCAGATCACCCTTAGTTAATCTCTGTACTTTCCTCCACTACTGCTGTTTTCTTAGTCAAACATGTTCTAAGAATAATTATCTCACTCAGCTTCAGCTTACATTTTCTCCACCCACATTGACCTGGATCCTGCATCATCTGCTTTCAACTTACTATTGAAAGTTATTTCTAAGGCTACCAACGACCACTACATTGCTATATTAAGAAAGTCTTTTAATGGAAATCCTTAGTCTCTAAGTTGGTTGACTTTATATTCTTTCTGTTTCCTTGACCTCTGGGACTCAGGATGCCAGATCTTACTCATCTCTTTCTGGCTACTCCTTGCTTAAACTCAATCTCTTTCACTCAACCTGTCTATCTGGGACTTACACAATGCATGGCCCTATATGAATCCGCTTTACCTAAAACCTCCTGAAGATAACCAATATTTATTCTCACTCAGATTTCTCCATTTTACTCTTATTGTCATGCAATAAATTGTCTTTATGACATACCTCCTTGAAGATATTAGAAGTACCCTAAATTACCCAAATCTATGACTGAATATGACCTAGTTTTTCTCTTAGTGTTCTTTACTTTGTTAATGGCAAATCTTTTATCTTATTATGTAACAGCATATTAGGAGCCTACCTCTACCATTTATACTAAGCACTTATTAGAAGTTACTATTAAATACTATATTTGGAATTATGAATCTTATAAATGTAATAACAGGAAAATCTGAGTTATTCTGGGTAGTCCTTTAATAAATTGGAAACTTTTAAATAATATTTAATAGAAGATACCATCTGTATTTTAAAAATAAAATTTATCAACCATTGCACATATAAAATTTTAAAAAAAAAGTGTCTTTTGCTTTCCTCTATTTGTAAGTCCCTTAACATGTTTATAGATGATCAAATAGTTCTATTTTTTTATAGTTTTTAAATGTACACATTATAAATGACTCATGATTTAAAATTTAGTGTATATAAACAAAGAGAATAGAATAGCTGACCATCTCACCTGTATGTGTGACTAAATATTGTTGGAGTAGGCAATCTTTAAGGGTTGCTCTAGAAATTGTGATGTTCTTTGATAATTTGACTTAGAGCGTTTACTCTCTTTATCTACATAATAAGTGTGATTCACATTCCTCCACTTATTTATATTTCTCAGGAGATGAGCATGGGAGTGAAGGAGAGAGGGCTTAAAGGATGATGACTATATGGGAAATACCATTTCTTGAGTTCTTACTCTGTTCCTCATATTGTTTGGCTTCTATACACACACACACACACAAACACGCATGTGCACGCGCACACGCACATTCATACACACACAAACTCACTGAATGTTATCTTCACTGTTTCTTCTGAATAATTGCCTGTATTTTAGCTTTAGGACTTAGAAAATTTAAATAAATTACAATCACATACCTAGTAAATGGTACAAACTTCACAAATTAACTCCGAAGTTTTTGTCTTTTTGATCACAGCATTTGCTTAATCTTAAGCTTTTAATAGTGTTCTTATGAGAACAAGTTAGAAAGGATATCAAGCAATTCATGGAATGAGTCCTATTTAGTGCAGATTCTACTATCCCTTTGTTCCCATGGAGTTTTTATTGTTAGCTTTAGGGCATAATCTTGAAAATGTTAAATATATTCATATAACTAAACAGTCATTGTGAAATCTTATTAATTCAGATGTTGGTAACATTGTAACTTGCCTTTGAATTAAATGTTAATATTTTGCTAAACAAATTTTCTGAAAGGGAATTGAGGGGAAATGTTTGCATTGCTATTTCTTATATCCTCAGCATTTCCTTTTGTGTGTGTAAGTGGGTATTTATATGTATGGTGTGTGTTTGGGTAATATATGTATTATTTAGATATATAAATATTATTTAGATATATATAAATATGATATATTTAAAAGTAATTTTTATTTAGTTTAAAAATGATTTATGATTATTTTTACTCTACAACATTGTTAATTTCCTATACAAACATGAAAGCTACATGTTTAAATATATGAAAGTGATACAACAATAAACATATCTTCACAAATATTGAAAGTATACTCTAAGTTGGAAATTTACTCTCCTATTTTTAAATTAAAGGAATTAGAAAGAATTTTTACTTAACGGAAAAAGCATTATTGGTTATATCAATATGGGATAAGGTACTAAGATTAAAACCTTTAAAATTGGATTTAATGTAAATATCTCTAAAATATATTATAGTACTAGTGAAAAGTAAATTAATGTGAAATCACTTGATTGCTCTGATTCCTATAGTCAATTACATGAATTAAATAGTCAAAGAATAATTTTTATGTTACCAATTCATACTCAAATGAACAGTGTTAATTATGTAAATAATGGAGATCTCAGTGGAAATGTTTTTGCAGAATTTTATTAAAAAATGTAAGTTAAAATAAGTAAAACCAACTTGAAATGGGATAAATTTAAATCAACACAAAGAGTCACTTTAGTTTACCTCCATCTACATTTTACTTCTAAAATGCATTCAATGGTGATAATATCAATTTTATCCTATTTATACTCCTTTTTGCCTTTTTAGAATATGGCTTTTGGGAAAATACACCAATCATGTCATTTAAGACTCAACCACATAAGAGTTAGTAATATTGTAATTGGTTTTAATGCTTGATGAGACTTCCAAAAATAATTTATTTTTTAATTTTACATTGCTTTGTACCATTATCACCTCATATATAAAAATACTTTATGTGTTATAAATCATAACTCAAACTTACTGTCTTTCAAATTATGTATCTTCTAAGGCACATACATTTTTTTAAAAGTTTTATTTATTTATGCATACAAGAGCTGGGGTACAGGCCAGAGATGGGGGGCGAGAGGATCCACCAGAGACAGAGTGGGGATCAGAACAGGCAGACTGACGGAAATACACTGCTGAGGGGAGCAGCGGGCGAGTCAGGAGAGGTCTGCCGCGCCATGTGGGTTGCTCCCTGGCTGGCTGGGGGATCGAACTTGTGCTGCAGTGGCTACAGACAGCCCCATAGGTTGCATCTTAACCCCTTGTACCACAAGGGAGGCCCCTAAGGCACATAAGTTTTAAGAGTGTTGGCTAATGTTATAGCAAGATGTGAGCATATAGAATATTGTTCTAGTCTGCAATTAAAGGAACTTTTATTTTTGCCTCTGTATTTTTAGATTATGTGTATTATAGAAAATATGTATGTAAATTGGGAATTCATTGAACGATATTTACTGCGTATGTACTATACCATGATGATTTTACTTGTGAAGAGTTAATTAACTCTGACACTATGATATATACATCTCTATTACTTCTGATTTTTAAGATGTTTATTGATTTTTTTTTAAAGATTTATTTATTTATACAAGCACTGGGTACAGTCAGAAGCATGGGAGGGTAAGAGAAACCAGAGCCAGAGGGGAGACTGACGAAGTACACTGCTGAGGGGAGCAGCGGGCAGCAGAAGAGGTCTGCGAGCCATGTGGGTCTCTCGCCCGGTGGCCAGGGATCAAACCGGCGCTGCTGAGGCTGCGGGCAGCTTTGCAACCCAGTGCTCAACCGCTCCACCACCGGGGAGGCCCAGATGTTTATTGATTTTAATTGTATTATTTGCTATTGTGGAAGCATTGATTTACAACACTGTATATGATTTAAAGGAGTAGATTTATACTCCTCAGGTGTATGTAATAAAACCGCACTGACTATGAAAGTACCAGTAATCTTTCACAACAGTCAATTGATTCTCTACCTCCGTTGCTATTCAAACCTTGTTCTACCTCTAATAACCTCAATTTTACAGTTAGATTTCTAGGGTTTTTTATTTAGGTTTAGTTT